ATCATCCATGTATCTATCCAGCCTCCTTTTGAAACTTTCCAGCATTCCAGCACTTACTACAAAGTTGCTAAGCTTGTTCCACTCGTCCACCACCCTATTTGTGAACCAGTTCCTTCCTATCTCCCTCCTAAACCTAAAATTATCCAACTTAAATCCGTTGCTCCGAGTCCTATCCTGCTCGGATATTATAAGAACTTTATCTATATCCCCTTTATTGATTCCTTTCACCCACTTAAATACTTCTATCATATGTCCCTGCACTCTTCGTCATTCTAGGGAATGCAAGTTTAGTTTCTTTAACCTATCCTGATATGGAAGGTTTCTAAGTCCCGGAATCATTTTTGTCATTCTTCGCTGCACCGACTCTAGTGAATTGATATCCATTCTATAATAGGGGCACCAGAACTGAACCGCATAATCGAGGTGCAGCCTGACTAGCACAAGATATAGTTGCAATAAGACCTCTGCACTCTTATTACATGTTGACAACCCTTTATCCGAAATTCTGAAAACCGAAAGTTTTTTTGTGGAGCAATTTTTTTTTTAACAGGGATTAGCTCACCCAGGCATAGATCACTGACCCACATCGGGGCCTGGGGGGCGAAAATGTAATAGTAATACTAATTATAATAATAATTATTATTCATAGTAATTAAAAATTGTAATAAAAATACACCAAAATAAAATAATAATAATAGCAATAATAATAAGAAAATATAATAATAAAATTAATAATAATAACAATAATATTGTATTAATAAAATAATAATAATAAAGAAATACAAGAATGAAAAAAGATAAAAAGTGAGAAACACGACCTAGACCTATGAATTATTATTATTATTATTATTATTATTATTATATTTTCGCCTCCCAGGCCCCAATGTGGGTCAGTGACTTGTGCCTGGGTGGGCTAATACAAAAAAAAATTAATAACCATTCTGAAAACCAAAAAATTCCGAAATGCCTCTGACCCCAAGGATTTCGGATAAGGGATTGTCAACCTGTACTTACACTTCTAGATATAAAACCCAATACTCTGCCTTATTTCGAACATTAACGCACTGTTTTCTAGGCCGTAGGTCCGGGCTTACAAGTACCCCTAGGTCTCTTTCACAAGTCGACTTCTCTAGGTTGATGTTGTTAAGGCTGTATACATTGACAGTATTTGTTCTTCCAATATTAAGTACGCTGCACTTGCTGGTGTTGAATTTCATTTGCCATTTTTCAGACCACCCCTGTAGTTTATTTAGATCCTCCCGTAATACATTTGCATCCTGCCCTGAATTAATCTGCCGCCCTATTTTGGTGTCATCCGCAAACTTGCTTATGTCACTGCTGATCCCAGTATCTAGATCGTTTATGTTGATTATGAACAAAAGTGGGCCTAGTACTGACCCCTGGGGAACCCCACTGGTTACACGGCTCCACCCAGATTTAACACCATCTACGCTGACCCTCTGCGTTCTATCGGTGAGCCATGATTTTATCCAATTTAAAACTTTCCCCTCGATACCATGAGGCTTAATTTTTCTCAGAAGCCTCTGATGCGGTACTCTGTCAAATGCTTTGCTAAAGTCTAAGTAAATAACATCGTCATTTTCGTCATTATCTACTACCTCGAAGACTTTCCTAAAAAATGACAGCTCATTTGTTAGACAAGATTTTCCCTTTGTAAACCCATGTTGAGTGTCGTAGATTAATTTGCTTTTCTCTAAATGCGTTCGGATGCTATCTGCTATAATTGATTCAAGAAATTTCCCCACTACAGACGTCAAACTGATCGGCCGGTAATTTGATGCTCATGCTCTGTCTCCCTTTTTGAATATGGGTACTACATTTGCCTGTTTCCACAAGTCTGGCACAACTCCCGTGTCTAATGATTTTGTAAATAAATTTACGAGTGGTCCGCTAATCTGTTCCCTACACTCTTTCAAGACTCGAGGGAAAATTTCATACGACTCTGGGGATTTTGTCTCCTTTAGTTTATTTATCCTCTTACGAACATCCTCTTTTCTGATAGTGATATTCTTTAATTTCTCTTCTTCCTTTCCCCTAAATATCTGTTCCATCTCTGGAATTTCCTCGCGAATTTCTTCTGTGAAAACTGATTAGAAGTAGCTGTTCAATGCTTTGCTTATTTCTTCACTGCCATTTATCACTTCTCCCCTCCCTGACTTTAAAGGCCCAACTTTTTCCTTGACCTTTCTTCTATATACCTGGAAAATCCCTTGGGATTTGCCATGGATTCTCTTGCTATTTTGATTTCATAGTCTCTCTTTCCTTTCATTATACCTATTTCTGAGCTGCTCCTCCCCTCCCTTTAATTTCTTATATATTCCTTTTTTTATTCCTATGTCATGTTTAAGTTGTCTGGTCATCCACCTTGGCTCATTCCAGTAAGTCATCGTCCCCTGGTTCTTCCTTTTCATACATGTTTGTAGAGTTGAATAGCTCCATCATGTGTGGTGTTACTTTGAAATCTCTGCAACATTTTCCTTGGAACTGGACCATTTTCACTTCCATCACTGGCTATACTAACCCAGACGTATTTTTCTTCCCATGATTTGTTATATTTTCTACCACTGTCGTAGGACCCTTTCCATTTACTAGTGGACATTTTGAAAACTAGCACTCAGAAGTTCAGAAAGTAACTCAGATGGCTTTGTAGGCTTTGAAGCTTAACCCATATGCTGGACACGTTCAGCCTGAACAACTCAAATATGAGAACTAACAACTAGGGTAGTAACTAATAAGGTCACTCAGCTCAGTAGGTCATGTAATCATGTGAAGAGGTGAGGTCACTGAGCCAGCGTTTTAATTGAGAAATTTGAAAATCTGCTAGACTTGTCTTAAAAATCCACTACATGAGGAATTTACGTGTTTTACAAAATTCGGCCAAATATTTTGGCCGTGACCATCCATTTTCCACGGCCAGGCGAAATTTTTTGCGGCCAAGTAGAGAAATTTGGCCGTGGAAGCGGCCATCTGGCAACCCTAGTACAGTACCCTAACACCACAGGTTGACACACCGCAGGTCAAGACCTGACCCCGGCCTAAGTACTTGCGTAACCCTACGATATAATCGTGTTAAGGAAACCACACCTGGCCAAGACCCAACCGGGCGGTAAAAATTAAAAAGCACTACTGTCTTGCGACATGACCTCTCCTGGGCAAACAACTGTCCAGACCTGACCCAAGGGAGATCAAGGACCCGCTAATCAGCCAGCACCCCTGTTACCCAACCCAACAACCCGGTCAAGACACACCCACTTAAGTAGGAGAGGTCACCCTCCGGCTCCTCCAATATATAGGGGCTGGAGCTCCTCTCGTCAGGGAGAGTCTGATGACCAAGGAGGGCCAGCAACCACGTCCCCTGTCCCGTCGCTAAAGGCAACGAGGTCTCACACTAAGTGCTGTCAATTCAACGTTTAACAGCAAGTGCTGGCTGTGTAGGCGGTAGAAGTGCAGTGATCCCGGACCTCCCAATGATCGACTTAGTGAAGTGCCCATTCGACTTGTGAAGTTAAACGAACATATCATAGTCTATCATACCCTGTGTACGAGTCCCCCCATTAATTCCTCCTATGCAACTAGCAAAATAAAGCTGTAACACGGATTAGTGTTTTATATACTACACTTGTACTGAGCCCCCACACCCTCGAGACACGCTACCAAACTTCCTGTCTTTACATCCTCCTATTATAAATATTCTACCTATATGTAATAACCTCTTCTGGTGAGTTTTGTCTCATTACACGAGTAAAGCTCGTCAGGATACTGTACAGTACAGTACCGTGGAAGCTTTACATATAGAAAATACACGAATTGTTAATTTCGCCTGTATTAAAACGAAACTTTGGACCACGTATAGTGTTATACAGTACTGTGCTTAAGGTGGAAAGGGGGGATTCCCCAAGCCAAATGACGTTATGATCTTTCGAGGAATTCGAGTATTTTTTTTTTCTTGCTCCCTTTCATCTATATTTCCAGTCATGCTAAAATTTTTTATTGCATTACCTCTTACATTATGACCAGAATCTCACTTGTATTCTTTGTTTCTTCACATTCCTGTTTACTTCCTCATCTCTTTAACATGAAATTTATATCTGCCTTTTCATGGTATTCTTAACGTTGTTCGTGAAATTTACGTGTCTTCTGCAGCTTTTTTTTTCTTTTTATTGACAAAGTTTCTCATTCACAAAATTAACGTTTTGAAATGCTGTATCTTAAATCTCAATTGCGTATTTCACTTAACCACCAAATTGGGTGTTAACGTCTGTTTATAAAGATGGTATAGATAGATTTGTAAAATTGTGTAATTGTCACATGTAATAACCAGCTTATCACTTTAAAATATTTTTATACACAGGAAGATAATGCTTTAATCAGCTTGTACAGTACATATATTTAGTCTCGCTTTGTATCCATAAACTAGTCACTGACCGCGGCAAAATTAAATTAAAATTAGATTAGTTAAAATGTAAGCATATTGCTTTGGGCAAATTTAATTTATTGCAGCAGCGTGTGTATAGTGTTATCAAATTGTCCCGTTGTGAGTTGTTCATTAGGCTTGTAGGAATTATACAGAACGTATCATGAACCTTAGCCCAGTATTTTCCAATTATTATCCCTGAAATGTCAGCGTACATGATAAAACATATTGTTATGGACATTAAATGATAAGAGTATGTTAAATATTTCTTGTGAGTGTGTAAGAGGCAGTGTACACACCGTGTAGGTTACAGACATGGAAGGTTCTGCACCAGAGTCGTGTATTGATTGCTGGGAAAGTACAGTTGTCGGGTACCATATTCCCACTAAATATAGCCATTTGTTTTTCTTTCATTAACTTGTAAAAACGTTAAATATTTTATTTTAAATTGCCTCTGGTGAACATCTGCTAGCTTGTGAAATATTTATATACGGCTGAAATGTAGGTAGTATAAAATAAATTACGGTATAAGGCAACTGTGTCCTTCCGTCCACTGACATCACCAGACATGCTCACTCACTTCCACTCTGTGAACGTATTAGCAGTGTCTCTCTCTCGTGTCATCCAGCTTCATTCATACTAGCTACCACTTCTTCTTAAGAGTGTCATTGTCAATAGCCTGGTGGCTCTCAGCACGTGTGGAACGGGCTCACCCCCCGTTGTGTATCGTGGGGGGTACCCAGATCCACACTGGAAGAGGCTCACAACAGATTGCCCGCCGTCTGTTAGGTTGATCAGCCCATAGACAAGCTCATCCTGCCTCAGTGTCGTTAGTGAAGCAGTATTATTTCCAGACATGGAACCAGAAAGGTTAATTCTCGCCATTATTTACTGACGGTTATTGGGAAAGCACGCATACCCTGTATGGCGTGTTCATGATATATGGGATAATAAGCCCATAGGTGAGTATCAAATAATTTTCAGTCATGTAGATTATCGTTGTTGAGTGTTAGTAAAGTTCATTCAGTCTTTGATTTTCTTTTGTGTTGTGATTTTCGTATTTCCTATGTTATCAGGGAAGAGATTGAATGTTATAAATTAATGGTACAGTAATGATTTTCGAAAGGAGCACCACTAAACTTCTAGTTTAAGGCATTTTCTTCACAGGACGTGTCTTATTTGGACGAATGTTCTTGAAGATTTGGGATCTAATATAAGAACTAAAATCAATGGGACAAAGAGAATGGCAAGTCCTGTATATGTGTTACGCAAAGTGACAGAAATTAGCATTGTCTGATTTTATTTGTAACAAACCACTGGCATTAGCTCAGCCTACTTGATCATACTGTTTACAATTCTTTGGTTGAAGCTTAAGTGAGAGAGTTATATAATGATTTTTCTTAAATTTGCCAAAGGTGCCGAGGCCACATGCTGCTTACTGCTTACTAAGTAATCCTTTGTTCCAGCACTGAATTTGTTCACTAACTTACAGGTACTACCATACTTTATAACATTAATGTTTTAAGAAAACACTACAGTACTGCTGTGTTGCAGAGTACAGAACAATGCAGTTACCAATATATACAACATTAAACAGTATATAACACTGGTGATTATTATGAAGTAAAGTGGTGATTTACTGTTTTTTTATCAGATTAGAGAAAACTTACTGTGAGCAACGTCAAGTTTCCTATTTTGTGAAATGATTTATCTCCAATACTTGACACGTGAACGTTGAGTCGCATACGCACTGACAAACACATTTTTGTCACTAAGTATATTACAACAGTCACTCCCACAAACAAAATCACCCCCCACATCACCTCAATACTCACCTCAACAATACTTATTCTACACAGCACAGCCATAGTTACCCACTACACCAGCACAAGTACAATATTAGAACAGCATCTGAAAGCAGTGCACTGTTCATTCATATAAGGAACAATAATCATCCCATAGATTGGGAAAACAGTTTAGAAGTGTATAAATCCATCATGTGTCACAGAAAGTCTTCTGGTTGAGGCAAGTTTGATTAGAGAATTGAATTCTATAAACCTTAGTGATGGTCAGTGCCTTACGTGTGTTATGTAAATAATTTGAGACTTCATTTAATTTTGTTTGGTTTTACAGTACATATGCCATACTGTACTGTATAGACATAAATTTATATAACTGTACTTTGTCATCACAATCATTAGACATGAAGTAAGATAAGACATGAATACTGTACTGTACCTTGGAAACTGTAATTATACTGTACAGGATATAAGATTCAGCATCACAGAAGTTTTGAAAAGGAAAGTTAATTTTCCCAATCCCATAAAATAATTAATACTAGGGTGTTCATGCTCTACTTTTCTTTATGTGTACTGTGCAAATACTATATAGAGATAGAATTACAGTACTAATGAAATGTGGACCAAGCTTTTGCAGTGATTCAATTTAATACAATATTAGAATTTTCAAATAGATTTTTGGCCATATTCTTTGTAAAAATAATTATTGCTTTAGTTCGTAACAGTCACTTATTATATGTGTATTTTTTTACTTATACTGTTGTGAGTGTTGTTAGCAGTACTGTTACTTTGGGTTAATGTTTGTAGCTCTTGATGCTGGCTTAGCAGTCTTAAGGATCTTCTATAATGTCTTTGTGTATTCATCTTTTGTCTTGGTCTATCTAAATTTCTGTCCGCTTCATGTACAGTAATACAGTACAGTATTTATTTCTTAGATACAATGCCTTTACAGCCAGTCTGGATATTGTAGGACCTTTAAACTGAGAAGTGTCATGTTTGTGTGCCCTTTAATTGATGATCAAAATTTCCCAGCCTGTTGTTACTGTAATTGACACGAGTCCACCATCTTTATTTTTATGAAGCTTGCTCAAATCTTTATTGAACACACGTATGTGTATACTTGTTAATATCTGCTTTATTTTATTTCAGGGACGATACTCGGGATCCCGTCTGGACCAGTGCACCTTTACACTCTACGGGGGCAACTGGAGGTTCACACTTAACGGTTTGCCGCCGTGGTACTGAGGTCAGCTCTTTGCCTCCATTCTGAGGCGCAACAGGCCGTAACGAAGGTAAATATAAAAGCTACATTGTATTATGTACCATCACCACACTGCACCATCACCTTCAGGGATAACCACACTATCCCACCAGTTAAGCTTCAGATCTGGATAGATAATTAAGTTTATTTTGAGTACTGTACTGTATACAGTGATAAGATTATGGTGTTGGTTCAGATTTGAAGTACATTTTGCTTGGCTTAATGTGTGCTGTATTGTTTTGGGAGAATTTTAACAACTTATATATAACTTTTATTTCAAACTGGTCATTTGTACATAATATCTGAAGAACATTTAACATGATATGTTTTGCAGTTTATTTATCATTTCAGCTGTTATCATCTTACTCGCTATGCTCTACACACACACACACACACACACACACACACACACACACACACACACACACACTTTATCACATGGAATTACAGTATGTGCTGTAATGGATCATATGATTGCTGGCATCCTGCTAGGGGATGGTGTTACCCTCCAGATGTTGAATGCTAAGAATCAGTTGATGAACACATGGTTCACCTGTCCAGTACCCCAGCAAGAAATATTTGCATCATTTAAAGACAAAAATCCTGTGTAATCACTTTATTCCTGGTACCTGTAGTCTCTTATGCACTCTCCTACTCCATCCTGATCCATTCTCATACACTAACTTATCTTTCAGAAGCTTTTCATACAGTATAAGATATAAATTTTCTCCGTTTGAATTTTGACAACTACAGGTATTAGGTAACATGCATATTCTCATTACTCCTCTGAAAATATTAAACTCATAGTAAATTGGCTAAGGTTATGAAACAAAAATCACACTTTTTCCTGGATTTTACAGTAGAGTATTACCTGAGTTGTGAGGTTGTTTGTGTACCATAACTATCAATAATGTGAACGATTTTCATTAATACTGTACAGTAAGTCCTCGCTTAACGTCGTCGTTCCGTTCCTGAAAACGGTGACGTTAATGGAATCAATTTTCCCCATAAGAAATAGATAAAATACGGTAGTTACGTTCCCCAGCCTCCCTTTGCCCCATAAAATACATTATATATACATAAATTCAATGGAATTTTTATAGAAAATAGTGTATATTATACATCCCCAAAGGATAAATAAACTAAATCTTCTGTTTTGTCCTCAATGATGGGCAGAGGTGGAGTGAGTGTGTGGTGGCTAGTTAAGAGGAGGAGGAGGAGGAGAGTGGCTCCTCCCCCTGCTCTGACTGGGTGAGAGAGGGTGATGTGCCGTACAAAGTAGTCCGTGATGACGTTATACCGAATTGGCGAGACGTTGTCCGAATCATTGGTATCTAAAGAGTAGCGACGTTATAACGAAACAAAGTTGTCGTCGGCAATGTTAAACGAGGACTTACTGTACACATACAGACTCTACATGTGAAGTGCATCACACGGTGAAGCCAAAGTTCAGGTGAAAGGATGGTAAAATATTCGGAGAACCAGCCAGGTTAGGGAGAGAAGAGAGGAGCCACTAACACAGCTGCCTTTCCTGGTAACATTAAAGTACGCTCCTCATTTAGCTGTGCACCTCTGCCCAAAAGAGGGGGGGTCATCTACAACCTGCATAGCTACCTCAAGTATCATCCTTGCCAACAGTAGAAGGTCCTTATGTAACCTCAGGCAAGGGGAGCTGTGGAGGCAGAGGCATTTGTATCATTTTGTAGTACAGTACTATACTGCATTGTACTGTATATACTGTATACAGTATGGTATTCAACAGCCTCCTCAATGAGGCCAGTCCTGAAGATGCAGGTTTCCTGGGGGTCTTTTTTTGGTAATTTTACAAGTATTAATGTTACACGTAAGTTCGTTGAAACTAGTAAAACAGAATATAATGACCACATTAAAATACAAAAATATAAATGATATAAGCCAACCTGTTAACATATTCATGGCGGAGGTGTAGCTCATGAAACAACGTTCATTTCATAATGTCAGTAATGCTTGGTATGCTTATGCACACATATTGGCCAACCCTGACTCACTTCCATTCTCCCTAATTATGAAATTGGTAGTACAATGCATCCTTGAAAATTCGAATTGCATGGGTCAATGAAGTATATACGAATTTTAGAAAAATTCACATTTTAGATGTATGGAAGCGCCCGAGCAAATTGTTGTATCAAAACATGCTACAAAAATTATTTACACATCTAAAAACTGTCAATAAGCAATAGGTATGATAAATTAAAAGTATTACTGTATTTATATTCAACAACATTTATTCTAATATATTTAGAACATTATAGCTACAGTGGTCTAATCCTGCCAGTCTCCAGTAGTCTCCAAATACTGTACTGTACTGTACAACACTCCGTCTCCATTCACTTTCACTGTACTGGACACAATGCCTGACCTAGCATATCTTGGAACCCGGATGCGCTTGTTGTGCTCAGCATTATGATCACATTTGAAAGCTTGAATTATTATGCCAATATTTTCAAACTCTTAACCAAAAATTTTGGCACTTATTTTTAAATCAGATGCTATTCAAATTTTAGATGTATCCAACTTTTTGATCCAAGCTGAATCTGAATTATCCAAAGTTTGAGATTATTAAAAACGGATTTATTGATGTTTATGAAGGTGAAAATTATGGAGACATTGGTTAATTTAGTAAAAGAGTGTTACTAATGTTTATATTTCTCCTCAGGCTGATACACATTACCGTGGAGGTTACAAGAACCACAAGAGAACCGCTGGTAAAATCTGCTGTATAGAACTTTAAAGAATCCACAAAATTTTGTTGAAACCTACAATCATGAAGCTGGAATGCAACTTCTTTGCGGGATCAGCTCGCATCTTGAATGAGGAGACTGTCATGGATGTTGTGAAGGACCTAGCCCAAGATCTAGTAAGTGACTTTCCTCTCTTCTCTTGTGCTATCTATATCTGTTTTCCCTGTGTTAGCTTGTCTGCTAGAAGTAAACAAAAAAAAAGGGCTGTACTCCTAGCATCACAGTCATTGTTGTTAGGCTTGGCAAATGTTGGCATTTATTAATTAGGCTATACAGTTGTACCCCACTTAACGCGGTCAATTGAACCCAGAGGGTCCCGCGTTAAGTGAACAACAGAACATATGGGATTAATTCCAATAGAAACCGGCCCGACCCCCAAACTCCACTTTTTGAAGGCACATACCTATGTTGTAGTAAAAATAACATCTTAATTTTATGATGGTACATGCACACAATTAATACTTAAGAGAAATAGAGAAATACAGTCGCCAAGTTAATGTCCATTCAAATAATGGACTCAACTCCCTCCCCCTCTCACACTACACAGCCGGCTAACAGATGGTCGGTCGGTCCCTCCCTCCCCCCCCCACCCCCCACCAACCGTCCCAAGGAGATGTGTGGGATAACCTCAAACTAAAGTTAGGAAAATATAATTGACATTGCTGGATTCCTTGTAAGACCAGGAATATTTTGAATATAAATGTCATATATTTTGCACAAAAGATAACATAGTTACCTAGAGAAAAAATTTTATCTAAAAATTGTAAGTTTAAAGCAAAATATATGATGTTTATATTCAAAATGATCACCAAATTATAAGAATTCCAGCAATGTAAATTATATTCTGACCGGGTAATTTGTATGAATTTTATGAGCTAAAACAAATATCTTCAGTTAATAAAAAAAAAAATAATCTTCACGACACTATCTGTCAATCAAAGTACCCCACCTTGCCTCCCCCCCTCTTCCAACCGCGCGGTCAGTCCCAACCCTCCCCCCCACCCCCCACCAATCCTCCCTTCCAGAGTTTTTAACATTTAGTATTAAATAATACCTCAGATTAAAGTTAGGATAATATAATTGACATTGCTGGATTCCTTGTAAGACCAGGAATATTTTGAATATAAATGTCATATATTTTGCACAAAAGATACCATAGTTACCTAGAGAAAAATTTTTATCTAAAAATTGTAAGTTTAAAGCAAAATATATGATGTTTATATTCAAAATGATCACCAAATTATAAGAATTCCAGCAATGTAAATTATATTCTGACCGGGTAATTTGTATGAATTTTATGAGCTAAAACAAATATCTTCAGTTAATAAAAAAAAATAATAATTCTTCACAGGGTAACAGATGGTCGGTTGGTCCCTCCCTCCCCCCCACCCCCCACCAACCGTCCCAAGGAGATGTGTGGGATAACCACTAAATTTTAATAAATAATACCTCAAACTAAAGTTAGGATAATATAATTGACATTGCTGGATTCCTTGTAAGACCAGGAATATTTTGAATATAAATGTCATATATTTTGCACAAAAGATACCATAGTTACCTAGAGAAAAATTTTTATCTAAAAATTGTAAGTTTAAAGCAAAATATATGATGTTTATATTCAAAATGATCACCAAATTATAAGAATTCCAGCAATGTAAATTATATTCTGGCCTGGTAATTTGTATGAATTTTATGAGCTAAAACAGGCAGTCAGGCAGGGTGGCGGGTGGGGCAAATCTAAAAATAGCGTCTCGGACACTCACCGCGTATATGTGGAAAAAATCCGCGTTAAGTGAAAGTTCAGCTTTGGCAAGGCACCGCGTATATGCGAAAACGCGTTAAGTGAAACCGCGTTAGGCGGGGTAAAACTGTACTGTATATATTTCGGTAATGTATATTAATATGGTTACCATGCTTGATGTTGATGAATTATTAATGACACTAAGTCACCTCTTACTGTGACTTGTTTTAGAGAAAACATTGGTCGTGTAAGCTTTATGTACATCCAAGGATCTACACCAGTGCTCACTAGACATGTGTGTTTAATTATCTAACGTACTTGTGACTGGGACTCGATATTATAATTAGTCTAACTCCATTGCCCATAATTGTGGGGTTGAGTTCAAGTAACTTTTATTCCGGATTTCCCGGGTCTGCACGCTGAAAACTTTAAAAAGATTTCATTACATGAGTGACTGAGCTGCAGGTTCAGTTATAATATAATACTGTATGTGATTTCATGCTCATTCCATCATTTATATGGTGTATTTGTATACAGGGGCAAGATGAACCGTTCTATATTTTAAATGTTGGAGACATTGTGCAGAAGATCAAGATTTGGAGATTGAAGATGCCACGTGTCAAGCCCTTCTACGGTGAGTACAATTGTATGGATTTATTTTATGACTCGGTGGCGAATTATTTACCATGCACGTGAAGCAGTCCTTCGGTGGTCAGTAGTGAATGAATAACACTGTCAGGTGCACCGATGGGTAGCATCTTGCTAGGGGGAATGGGGTAACCCAGCTATCTTGCACTTTAATGGGAAAGGCTTAAGAGAGTTCAAACAAATAGTGAAATCTTAAAAAATAAAACTCCTTTCACTTATTATTTTTCTACAGTCCATAAGTTCTTTTCCATTATAATGGGAACTTGTACTGTAGTTGTTTTTAATAGGGCGTAATGTATGGAATTTGTTTTGTGATTATTTATTTTATAGGTCTGTTCTTGTCTATGAAGCCTTATCCATCACAACCCTTACTGAATTGATAGTAAGACACTCCATTCCTTGCATCTTAAAATTAGAATTAACTGGCCTGGCCATTGGTTCACTTGTTTAAAAGAAAATAAGTTTAAGATTCTTTAAGCTTTGTATTGCACTTACCCATTACTAGTTTTTAATGAATGTGAAACTAAGGTCATAGTAATGTAATCAACATTTCTGGCTTCAACAGCTGTCAAGTGCAATGATGATCCGACTGTCTTGGAGATTCTAGCAGCCTTAGGAACAGGATTTGATTGTGCATCAAAGGTATGTATACTGTAACACTTTTCTGATAAGGTACAGTACAGTACTGTATGCGTAAAAGATGAACCATGAGTGCCACTCTTTACTGTTTAGCAACAAATTCATTCGGAGACTTATTTTTATAACCTAGTTCAGGATTATGGAGAAATATTGTTTGGTAAAATGATTATATATTTCTTCCCTTAAACAAAGTTGACATATAATTTTGTTATGTTCAACCCCTGTTTGTTAATTAGGCGGAGATGCAGAAGGTGCTACAGATGGGAGTAGATCCTTCACGTATCATCTATGCACACCCTTGTAAGCCTGCATCCCACTTGCGTCAAGCAGCAAAGTTCAACATCCCGCTAATGACCTTTGACAATGAGACAGAACTTCTTAAAGTGAAGACTTACTACCCTGAAGCTCAGTGAGTACTTGAATTATATTATGATTTTGTGAATTACTATACCCTTTTATGCTAAGCTGGCCCATAAACCCCACCCCTCGTCTATAGTTACAAACAGCTGATTGGTTCCCCTGTGCGTTTTACCTCCTCTCCAGATTGCGCGTGTATAAGCGTGTATTTATATTGGCCCTTTATGATAGATATTTAACGTTTTTTAACATCCTCTCTGAAGTGCTAATGCCTTGAAATCATTTGAACTTTGATAGGTCAGATATTTGCACTATTTTATATAGTGACAGGTCTGCTTACCAACTGTGTACACATTTAGTTTTAATTTTCTATTAACCAATCAGCTATTAGTATATAAGAGGGGCGTGGCTTATGGGCCAGGTTAGCGTGGAAATCCTATAGTTAGGTGCATGGATAAAAAAGGTTTGAGATGGTACAGCATGCCCTTCGAATTCGCGGGGATTGGGTTCTCAAATGGCAGCAAATGGCCAAATCTGCGAATAACATTTGCTGACGGGGAGGGGGCGTAGATTTTTACTTGTGTGCAAAGACATGTACAGGGTATACTATATTCACCTTTGTGTTTGCCCTTAGGACAATTATTTCTTTTACCTGTATTGTTTGTGTATGTAAACACACACACAAACATGCTACATCCTTGACCACCGAAGGGTCAAGACGTACCTGGCGCTCCTCTCGGAGCAGCCAGCTCAACTGTTAAGTTGGCCCATACCAACCCCTTCCCCTGAACCCTCCTCCCCACCGGAATATCAACAAGTTCTCGCCAGAAGTTACAATTTCATTTAGGAAAGGAATGGAACCAGTGTTAAACAGAGGTGAACAGTGCTTAAGTCAGTGAGAACAACTCAACAGTAACAGTCGTACCCAAGTTAACCTTCACACAATGAGGTCCCAGGTACCCAGTGATAACGGCCCGTGAGACCCAACAACAACCAGCGATGTGTTAATCCGTCTACGATAGGAAGGCCTGGGACCAAACCTCACTCGTATAACACCATCTGTGAAGGAATTACTACACCACGTGAGACCCCCTCATAACACCATCTGTGAGGGAATTACTACACCACGTCAGGTCCCTCATAACACCATCTGTGAGGGAATTACTACACCACGTGAGGACCCTCATAACACCATCTGTGAGGTAATTACACCACGTGAGGTCCCCCATAACACCATCTGTGAGGGAATTACTACACCACATCAGGTCCCTCATAACACCATCTGAGGGAACTACTACATCACGTGAGGTCCCTCCTAACACCATCTGGGAGGGAGTTACTACACTACGTGTTTGCTGTTCAACACGTACAATCTTACATTAATCTCTATGTTCACTGTATGTTCCTTTACCTTTCTCTAATGAAGGCTTTTGTTAAACCACCAATGTATGTAATAAGTCATTTATGTCCAATGTATATTTTCAGCCTTCGGGCTGTGGAACTTTTTCAATAAACCATTAATTATTATTATTATTACTCACTATAAGAGCATCCCATTCCCAACCATTTTAAAAATTATCAACAATTTGTAACTAACCAGTGTATTCACTCCCAGTCAATCTTACTTTTTTGCACTGTCACTTGAAATGCCCTGTAGTATAACCTTCCCCCCACTTAGTTATTATATATCATATTTGTCAATCAAGTGACCCATTCCCCAATTATGTAACTGTATATTTTCAGCCTTCCGGCTGCCATGCTCTTTCAATAAACCGTTTATTATTATTATTATTAAAATACATACAAATAAATGAAAATGGGGAAATCCTCTCACAAATAATAAGAAACTCGACAACAAAATTTAATGTAGAAAAATGCGAGTCTATCCTCAATTCAATTCCGTGCTTTGTTATTAAAGTTAAGTTGGTGGAGTTGCCATACGCCGCCAGCACCAGCTGGGTTGACACATAGATCAAACTTACAGAATTTCTTTTGTAGCCATCTAGCCAACCCAACATGAAGGATGTCGGTAATTATGGTGTAATACTGTATACTCTTTCACAATATGTATGTAGGATGGTGTGTACATGTAAATGAGTAAAAATAAATGAAGGTTACATATATCTACCCAAAAAAAAAATTATGAGTTGAAAAAGCATAACTACATTGACATGATAAGCACTCTTCCATCGGTAAACACTGCCTCATGCCTCATGCTGCACACACACACATGTAACTGAGTTCACTGAATTGTAGTGGTGGTTTAGGTTCTTGTATGTTTAAATTCTTGAGTTTTATTGTATTTTAGGTATTACAAAGTTGATAACTTCTGGACCTTAGTAAAATGGTAAAGCATATTTTTTATTTATACTGACCCATTTCAGGCTCCAGTCATGGGTATGGAGTTTTCAACCTGCAGACCTTCTGTCTGTTGAGTTGTGTAAACCAGACCATTATAAAATAGGATTACAGAAACTTCTATTTATGCTAATTTATATTGAGTACAACAGTCGGCCCTAAACATACGCGGGGTTTAGGTAACAGAGATACCTGTGAATGTTAAGAATCCGCATATTTTTGCTGCCCCCCCCCCCCATTTCCTTATTTACCGTATATACCTGTGTGTAGTTCGAGTTTTTAAGAACAAATTTTTTGGCAAAAATTGGGGGTCGACCTCTAACAGGTAATAGTTTCGTTAGGTTGAAAAATATTACCAGTAAACAATGGAAATGACGCGCCACCAGCTGTGAGTGTCGGTACAGTTGCCAGGGCAGATCTCTTGTGTCATCATAGCAAGCCCAAATTAGCCAAATGCATGGTATGGTAGCACAGGACGATGTAAAACATAAAGTATTCATTTTTTAAAGTTTATTTATACAGTAGATGCATAAATTTTTTTTCATTACATTTGAAACATCAATCATTGTTAATTAAATTTGAAACAAAAGAAAACTACTATACCGTATTTCTAAATACCGGGTATTTTCATTAAAATATTACATCACAAGTATATTTTACCTTAACTGTGACTGAATGAATATATTCTCAGAAATAAATATGGAAATGTAATATTTTTGCTGAAATGACGTACGTATTACTGTGGAAAGTGGGATAAAATCATGACGAAAACAATGACTTTCGCTTTCTTTCGTTGTTCAAAAGATTTTACCGTAATCGCTTTTCGAATGGTTTTCAGTTAAAAAACTGTTGTATTACAATAATATTCTATCCTAATTCACTTGAATAAATACTACGATACTATATTTCTGAATATTTTCATTAAAATCCATCAAAATCATTTTCCTTGTCATCGTCTTCAGCACCAAACAGCTCCTCCCAGTCTTCTCCTTGAACAGGGCTAGAGGGTACGTGTTTTTCGAATCGTTTTCAGTTAAAAAACTGTTACATCACACGTATATTTTACCTAAGCTGCGCCTGAATGAATATATTCTCAGAAATATATAATAGTTTTGCTGAAACGTGATGTATTTCAATGTAAAATTGGATAAAATACATGACGAAAACAAAAGACTTTATCTAACCTTCCGATGTTCAAGAGATGTTACTCGTTTTTTTTAATAGTTTTCGGTTAAAATACTGTTATATTACAATGATATTCTATTCATACTGTACTTGATATAATACATTCACGGAAATGTAATATTTTTGCTGAAATGACGTACGTATTACAGTGGAAAGTGGGATAAAATCGTGACGAAAACAATGACTTAAGCTTTCTTTCGTTCAAAAGATGTTACCGTAATCGCTTTTCGAATGGTTTTCAGTTAAAAAACTGTTGCATCACAAGTGAATTAGGATAGAATATTATTGTAATACAACAGTTTTTTAACTGAAAACCATTCGAAAAGCGATTACGGTAACATCTTTTGAACGAAAGAAAGCAAAAGTCATTGCTTTCGTCACTTTCCACTGTAATACGTAGGTCATTTCAGCAAAATTATTACATTTCCATATTCTCAGAAATAAATAGTAGTTTTGCTGAAATGTAATGTATTTCAATGTAAATTAGGATAAACTACATGAAAACAAAAGACTTTACCTAACCTTCCGATGTTCAAGATATGTTACTCGTTCTTTTAATAGTTTTCGGTTAAAATACTGTTATATTAGTGATATTCTATTCATACTGTGCTTGATATAATACATTCACGAAAATTTAATATTTTTGCAACTACAATGCTGATGTCAACACAAGCGTGGTTTCAGCGAGACTGACTGACTGAGGGAACGCGGGGTGGCACGGGCGATGTGTGTGTGTGTGGTGTCTCGCGCGATTTGAATAATGTATATTACTTTGAATGTATATTCCTCCAGCTGCAATCCGTGTAAGTTAAACCCGTGTATGTTAAGGGCCGACTGTTTTATATATGTTTTATAGATTAAAAAAATATATTTCTGGACACAGGCTTGTTCTGCGTTTCCGCTATGATGCAAATGATGCACAGTGCCCCCTGGGAATCAAGTTTGGGGTGCTTCCACAAGATGCTGGACCCCTCCTGGCCACAGCTCGATCATTGGACCTCAACATTGTGGGAGTTTCTTTCCATGTTGGCTCTGGTTGTCGTGAACCTGCTGTCTACTATCGTGCTATTGCAGCTGCTAAACAGGTGAGAATACTGTATTTCCTTTCTCACCCATTTTCCTACTACAATACTTAACAAAATAGCTGAGATTGACCCCTACGCCCTGGGTGAAATTCCGGAACTTTCATCTAGGGCGCCCCTGTTGACGTTCCGGAACATGTGCCTTTTCGCGCCGTTGTTTGAATGCCCCACGTGGTTATTTCGTTCCAGCATGACTATTTGGTGGTCACGCCACATGCAGGGTAGTGTGGGTGGGCTCAGTGCAGTTATTACGCATTAGCATGTTGCCATGGAGAGTTGTCCCTCAACCTCTCGTGGTAAAAGTAGTGTTGTAGTGTAGTATTACTGGAAAATAATGCTATGATTATGTTATAAATGTATTTATTTGTGAAATTATTATTCCGATAATTATTTATATGCATTACTTGCTCTCTCAAACACAAAGACAGCCTTTTATGGAAGGCCTAATTTTGTTCTTTCATTCAAAATATAAAATTAGTTCCTTGCTATATGATTGGCGAATAACAGTATGCCTCATGAGCCTTTATCAAAAACCTTCATTCATGTTGTCATTTTGTTTCGCACAAGAATTGTAAAGATGCTATTTTTACCGAGTGTACATAGTGTGGTACTGTAGTTAAAATGATAAGATTGCCAACTTATTAGTAGATAATTAAGGAGTGATACAATACAACTACAGGAGATAAAAATCTATTAAAGCCCTTAGTATCCTCACCTCCAACTGAGAACTACAGTCTTGCTGCATTCCATGGAAGGGTCATGGTCAACAATGAAATCATTCACCATCTTTACTTGACAAAATGGTTCACCCAAATTTTCCAAGCTCTAGCCTTCTTGTTGTAATTCCATAATGTCTTCTTCTTCATTTTCCTCGGTACGTTATACTAACTCTTCCAAATCTTCTTCTGTAAGTTCCTCTCCGTGCCCATCAATCAGCTCTTGCATGTCTTCAGCGGCCATGTCCACAAACCCCTCTCCACCCAATTGACGTGCAAGATTTACTCTGTCATTCACATCCTTTACTATGGACAGAAATCCCTGAAAATTATTCACACACTCGGGCCATAAGGTGCGCTAACAAGCATTCACTGTCTCTGGTTTGAGTTCAATGAATGCTTCATTGATGTTGGTAATGCAGTCCACAATGCTGTACTTCTTCCAACACTTACTAACATCAAGGTCTTCATCCATGGCACTACAGATACAACCAAAAGTGCGGTGTGTATAATATGCCTTGAAGATGCGTACTACACCCTGATCGAGAGGCTGGATAAGAGTAGTGGTGTTAGGGGGTGGGAACACCACCTCTACACCTGGAGGGCTAAACTGTAAACTTTATGGGTGGCCTGGTGTTTTGTCTATGAATAATAACACCTTGAATTCCATCTTCTTGGAAGCAAGGTAATTTTCCACTTCTGGGATGAAGCATTTATGGAACCAGTCCAGGAATACTTGCTCAGTTACCCTTGCCTTTTTCTTGGACTGCCAAAACCCAGGCTAAAAGTTCTTGTTTATGCCCTTTAAAGCCCTAGGGTTTTGCAGAGCAGTAAAGTGTCACTCTGTCCTTGGCTGGCTTAAACCCAGAGGGATGCCTCTCCTGCTTGTTTGTGTATGTTATACCAGGCATTTTCTTCCAATATAAACCAAATTTATCAGCATTAAACACTTGCTCTGGTATATAGCCTTTCTCTTTTATTATTTTCTTTATCTTGGCAGGAAATACACTTGCGACTGTGTGGTCAGCTGATGCGACCTCCCCAGTCAGCTTCATATTATGGATCAAGAATCTTTTCTTAAAATTCTTGAACCAACCTTCTCTGGCAGTAAAAGTTGGTTCAGTCACTGCACCACCCTTCACCACCAGTTGACTCATAAAAATGAGCATAAAGACTTTTAGCCTTTTCACGAATCACATTGCTGGCGATCGGAACATTTTTGTGGTGCTGGTCCTCAATCCAAATGTTCAGTACTTTCTCAGTTTTACTATGTTTTTGTCACGAACAACCTGCGCCACTTGAGCAATCGCTTCAACAGAATCACGAATTGCTTGTTCATTCTTTCTTATGTGCTGCACTGTTGATTCGTTCACACCAAACAGCCGACCAACCACGGCAGCACTCATCCCCTTTTAACTTGTCTAATAATTAAATTTTCTTTGCCAGGGCCATCACTGACTTTTGCCTTTTATGTTTCATTCCACTAGTATCACTAGCACTGACACTTGGCAGTCTTTTCGGGGCAATTTTCACAAAGAAACACTTAAGTTTTCAGAGTATGACACGGGATGCTAGGTCACGGGTACTGGGTGAGGGCAAACAGAGCGAGATGAGACTCCGCTGCCACATGGGGTGACTCGTTGTGCTGCGGGAGAAGGCTCACATGCTAGCCACCCGAGCCACCAGCTGCTTACAGCGAATCGTCGAAATCGTTAATCATAAACCCGCGAATCGGAAGGGGATAGTGTAATGCTGTGCAAGTTCTTAACCAAAGCATGGTGCACAATATGTACCTGACCACTGGAATTGTCTTAGTAAACAAGATCACCAGAACTAATTATACAAGACATACCTGTAATAACATTAATAATGAATTTTCTTCTTTATCTTTCTGTTAATGATTCTATATTTCATCAAATCTTATTCACTATATTTTGTTTCAGTTGTTTGATGAGGCTGAGGCTCTAGGATTTACCCCAAATCTGTTAGACATCGGTGGAGGTTTCCCTGGCTGTCGCAACTCTCCCCTGGATGAAGTGGCTGACCATGTTAACAAGGCACTGGATGAGTTTTTCCCTGAAGATACTGGAGTTAAGGTGAGGAATGACACATTAGAAATGACCAATTAGCTTGGTAGACAATTGTGTTTGTTGTACGTACAGCAATGACACATTAGAAATGACCAATTGGCTTGGTAGACAATTGTGTTTGTTGTACGTACAGCAATGACACATTAGAAATGACCAATTGGCTTGGTAGATAGTTGTGTTGGTTGTACGTACATCGGAACTGAGCTCAAGTTATTTACCTTCACGTGTTTAATTTCTACATCAGTAAGAATACCTCAGAATAGTTGGTTGTTTTTTTTTTTCACTTTTGAAATGTAAAGCATTTTTAGGTTAAATTATTACCTGTACATTCATGGATATGATGGTTGGGTGTTTGCCCATTGTCTCTGGATTCATATCTTCATTGAGGAGGCAATATTTCATAGAGACCCAGTGTGAGTGTACAGTGATATCCCTGTTAGCCTGCATCAGAAACAAAATACGATCTCTCAGAATTTTGTTCCCATGGCCAGAATAGAGATATTTTCCCCAGAATTTCTTGAAATGTCAAGAAAAAATTCTGTTTATGGGAGAGTTCTGGGGATCAAAGAGTCTGGCCAACTGAGATTACTGCAACGTGTTGTAAAAACTCATGTGACTCACAAATATCCAAACCATAGAGGAAAATACAACTATCTCAGTGTGACTTATATGTGATGCCAGGTCCACGACACAGATGCCTATGATGTACAGTATACTAGATAAATAGATATGCAATAAAAATTTTATACAAATTCACATTGATTTAGATTGTGCATAGACAATGCAGAAATACAGTACAAACAATGCACAGTATTAAGGATAGTGCAGGTATACAAACAATGTCCTGAGTACAGTAATATCTCCGTTAGCCGGAATCTCTCAAACCCGGAAATCTCGTATAGCCGGAATTTAAATTTGCTCGGAAAATCATTCCCAAAGCTGGAATTTTCCCCAAATGTCAGGCTTTCGGAACAAATTTTCCGAGATTGAAAATCGAGAGAATTTTCTGAAATGTCTTGAATAAAGATAAAAATTTAAATATTTTTTTTTGGGGGGGGGCCTGACCTGACTCCAGAGGATGTGGGGTGGGGGGATTAGTGGTCTCATATAACTGACCTGATGGAATGTCAGGTCACCATTTCTTGGGTGGGGGATTAGTGGGTCTCATGACCTGAAGATGTCCTGAATAAACACTAAAGCTAAAGTATTTTTGGGGAGATTGTGATAAGTACAAGTATAAATAGCAAAGTTGTATCCCTTCAACATTATATTACATAACATTAAAATATGGAGTGAGAAGGTAGAAAGGTGTGGGTGATTAGAGAGATGGAGTGGAAAGGAGTGATAACATGCACCAGTGTTGCCAAGCGATAAGCTCCTCAACAGCTGATCCTTTAATTCGCCTCTGTGCAGTCACACAACAAGACCCTCACTGGATGCGTGTTATCTTAATTCCCATGTGTGTGTGTGTGTGTGTGTTTAGAGCTTGCCAAGCACATTATAGGATTTGACTAAGTTGTTGAAGAGTGTGTTCAAGAGTCAAGTGGTGAGGTGACATGCCAAGACACTTACACAGCACACACATTAACAGCACTAATAAACCATTGTGTTTATAAGAGTTTACATTATAATTGATATTTTAAAATTAATTGATACATGATGGCTCGACTGGGCTGCTTTCGCACTTAGACAACTGGTCAATGAATAAACCAGGGCATATGGAGACGCATTATACACTAGTGATGTCAAAGCTTCGAAACTGCAACCAAAACATAATTATCACAACCTGTATTCAAATATACTAAGATAATTACTAAAATTATTATGTCTAATGCAAACTAAGGGATGTTTATACTGTACTCAAATTAATTGCTATCTTACAAGAATTCCAACAATGCAAGTTATATTCTCCCAAGTCAAGTCAGTGACATTTTATAAACGAAAAACTTAAGCTCCCTGCCTTTCATAATCCCTGAGTATGCATTAATTTCCCCTCCTGGCTGTCAACACCCCCACCTCTGCCCCTCCTCCCAGCCAGCAGTGGGGGAGTAGATGACGTTGATAACGATTAATAGGATGAATTTTGTTTTAGGCTTAAAGTTTTCTTGTATAAAATGTCACAGACCTGACTTAAGATAATATAACTTGCATTGCTGGAGTCCTTGCAAGATAGTGATTAATTTGACTAAAAACATCTCCTAATTTGCACAAGAGATAAAAGTTTTAGTCCTTTAACTTAGTACAAAATGAGTACAGTACTATGCTACTCAAAATTATAGCTAGCTTTATCATGGAGAAAACAGGTCAGGATAATATGGTATCAAATGTCACAGAGTATTTCAAATAAATTCTTCTACAGTACCAGTACCCTTCACATACAGTAAAATACTTATTGTTACCTTCTAATTCAGTTTGTCATATTGGAAACGTCTCATAGAGGCTCATTATGGTATCAAATTCATCTCTTTAACACAAATACAGTAAAGATTATAACGAGTGTTGTGAGCGAGGGAGGAAGAGGGAGAAGGGTCCATTGGGGGGTAAATGTGACCGAGCCACCCCCTCCTCCCCCAAAGGGCCGCCTCTCTGTTTGTCTACTGTACTGACTCATTCATGGTACAATATTGTTTACATATTTGTTTTTCATTAATTAGTAAAGATACGTTACTGTAATAATCTGTGCGTATTAATACCTGTAGTACCCTTCATATACAATACAGTACAGTACTATGTATATACCTCTTAGGTAAAATATGTCATTCAAGACTCCTTCAGGTCATAAGACCCACTAATCCCCTACCCAACAATGGGTGACCTGACATTGCTTCAAGTCAGGTTAGTAACATGACCCAATAATCTCCCACCCAACCTTCATCACAAGTGTTAAGACGTGATTAGTTATGTATTACAGTCAATTGAGTGAAGTGTCTGCCTATTGTAGGCTAAAGATGACAGGATCTGCTTGAGTATCATATATACAGTACACAAGAACACTTGCCAACATTGCGACTAACGAGCCGATCAGTGGCGAAGAGGATAAAAGTAACACGGCTCTATTCACGCCTGTATCATATATTGTAGAGCTGGGGTTTTTTTAACCAAACTTTTTGATGGTATTCAGGATTACTTTGATAAAAAAAAGTGGTCTGTCTAACGAAACTAGAACTGATTTTACTGACTCCGGTATCAACATATCCTACGTTATTTTTTTTATGGAATTCCCAAATTCCTATCACAATATCATATAGAAATATTTTGTTTAAAGATATCTTATTAAGGATCATTATGGTATTAATTTCATCTCCTTATCACAATTAGCCACGCTTGAGTGGGGGCTGATCACCCGACCCTATCCCCGAAAAAGGTTTGCTTCCGTCAACACCCACACCCCTACATCACACGCATACACCTCTACATCACACACAAACACACCCTCCAACGACCACCACACACAAATACCAACACCACTCACACACACACCCTACAAGGGAATTAAGACACATCTGTGTGTGTGTAACTGCATGGTAGCGAGTTAAATATCAGCAGTTGGGCACTTGTCAACACTCATTTCCACTCCCTCTCTCTAATTACCCACAATTTTCTGCTTTCTCACTCCATATTTTAAAATGTTATGTAATGTACTGTTGAAGGGATACAACTTTGTTAATTTATACTTATATCTGTACTTACCACAATCTCCCTAATAATACTTCAGGTTTCGTGTTTATTCAAGACATCTTCAGGTCATGAGACCCTCTAATCCTCCACCCAAGAAAGGGTGACCTGAAGTTCCATCAGGTCAGTAATATGAGACCACTAATCCCCTATCCTACCTCCTCCTGACAATGCATCAGGTCTGGTCAGTTACACGAGACCAACTAATCCCCCCACAGCTCCATGGGAGTGGAAAATTACAGTCTTTGCTGTAACACAGCTTCATTCATGCCCATGTCCTATAGATTTTTAATCTTTAAATATATTTATTTAAGCAAACTTTTAGATAAACTATTCTGGAATATTATAGTAAAGAAATGAAGTTTCTAACTTAATTAGAACTGTATTTATGGATTCCAGTAGTTTAGACTCAAAGAAAACATCTCCAGCACCCAGAAACATTCTGGGGCTAGTGTGCATCTGTGCAAGAGGTCTCGTTTAGACACTCGGAAACTTTTCCCAGTAACTTTTCCCAATTGTTCCGGCTAACGGGGATATCACTGTATAGGTGACAGTGTTAGGGTGCACCCACTTGTGTATCTCACCCGATCCATCACAAAGTAGCTGTTTATAAAAACAAGAGTACTGTACAGTTAAGTTCTCGCTTAATGTCGGGGTTACGTTCCTCAAAATGCGACATCATACGAAACAACGTTAATCGGATCAATTTTCCCCATAAGAAATAGATAAAATACAGGGGTTACGTTCCCGAGCCTCCCTTTGCCCCTTAAAATACATTACATATACATACTGTAAATTCAAAGCTCTTTATGTGATGCCTGGTGAGGTGCTTGTATGCATTACTATAAAGTCACAGTCATTGAGATTTATAAGAGAAAAAGTTAAAACTCCTCTACATGACAGAGAAATAAATACCATTAGGTAACCTTGGTTGGCCAGCAGGCTGGGCCAGCAAGATTGAAGAGTTATTAAGGCTTAAAGTTTTTATTTTATAAAATGTCACAGACTAAAGTTAACAGAATATAAATTGCATTGTTGGAATCCTTGCAAGACAGCGAATATGAATATAGACGTCATATATTTTGCACAAGGAATAAAAATTTTAGTCCCTTAAGTACTGTACATATAAGTGCTGTACAGGTTTTTCAACTTATTTTTAGGTACATATAATAACTTTCTTCATTTATTTTTACTCATTTACATGCACACACTAATCCTAAATACATATTGTGAAAAAGGTAAATAAAATAATTGTCCTAAGAGAGAGGGTGATGCACCGTAAAAAGTAGTCCGTGACGACGCAAACAAGGTTGTACTGAGTCACCGGGACGTTAAACGAATTTTGGGTCTCTAAAGTTTAGCAACTTAGTACTGTACCGAAACACCGTTAAGCGAGGACTTACTTTACCATACAATTAGTGCTATTATACCTGGTTTATATATATATATATATATATATATATATATATATATATATATATATATATATATATATATATATATATATATATATATATATATATATATATATATATATATATATTATTTATGTAATTTTTTTTTTTTTATGGGATTAGCTCACCAGGACACAGGTCAATAACCCACCTCAGGGCCCGGGGGCAAAAATACAATCATAATAATAATACCCTGTAATAAGAATTAATAGAAAATTATACGTTTTTTTAAACAATATTAAATAAAATATAATAACAATAAAAGACCATAAATAAAAAAGATCAGTAGCTAGAAACGATATATGTTTGTTGTGTTGTCAAAGTAAGAGAAATAATTGAAACCCTGCAATTGTGTGTAAATGAGGCAGAAAGTCAGGTCAGCAAACTGGGACTTGGTCACAAATTTTTTTTGTCATATGGCAGCAAGGTCTACCATTAGACAATACATTATGCTTCCAATATCTTCCCAGGCGGTAGTACCTCCCTATTTCCTACTACCTGGGTAAAGGTATCTGTAAGATGTAGTCTCAGTAGAACCCAAAACCAAACAAATATATTTGAAATGCTTCATAGCTAAGCTTTGTGATGTCACAAATTATAACAAGAGATTACTGTACAATCTGCTGGTTGACCTGCCCTCACCTGTCTCTCATACTTTTATTGCTACATTTTCTCTCATTATTCCCTTCTTTGAGTTTTATGTATCCTTTGATAGTGGAAAGTGTATTTTTGTTTTTTCTTTGGGTTCAGGTTATTGCAGAACCTGGTCGCTATGTAGTGGCCTCTGCCTTTACCTTGGCTACCAGCATCTTGGCAAAGCGAGAAGTTTGTGACAACAATGGAACTATCACATCAGTTATGTACTACATCAATGATGGTGTTTATGGATCCTTCAACTGCACCATTTATGATCATCAGACTGTTCATCCAATTTTGCTTGAGGTAAGTTTTGACCACTATTTTGATTTCATACTGTAAATATATAGAATATATGTAGAGCACTGCCATGTACAGTTGGCCTTCAATTTATACGGTGGTTACATTCTTCAAGAGCACCTTGTAAAAAAATAAAAAATAAAAAAATAAATACTAAGGGCCAATAGGACTTAGGGATTTAGGCTCCAAGTTTGCAAGATAACCTCCCTCGTTCACCCAATAAGTTAATGTACACAGTAAAAAAAAAAGTATCACACAGGGGGGATCTACTGACTTCGTAATGATCCATACATCACCTGATGTGCCGGGAGGGTTGGTATGCGTACCTGTATGGCAAAGGTTTCCACCTACCTATGGTAGGGCCATATTAGTTACGTCCCACATGACCAGCATAATATCATCAACACCATTGCATTAATTATATATCTTACAAAGTACTATATACCAAGCCCACACATATTCCACTATCCTTCGTTCGTGGTGTCATATTGTTTCGCATATAATCTGTGCGGTACTCTTTTTACTGTGTGCACATGCAACAGTAGAAGAAATTTAACAGTTTTGTGACAGAACTGTATATGAACTTGCCACTAACCTTTGATGATGATGAGCTTCTATGATAAAGTCAAAGGTTTGAGAATTTGCCTGAACACTCTGAAGAATGTAGAGTGTAGTAGGAGACAGCTGAGTTGGTGTCATGCTTGTGAAAGATGTGATGCTTAATATGGAACGACTCCTTAGTGTGTGGATCAAACGCCAGACCCAATGTAATGTGACAATAAACGCAATTATCATTCGAGAGAAAGCAAAAAGTTTGTACATGTATAATGATTTGTATAAAGAGGAAGGTGCAACTTCTGAAGCAAAACCTTTTCAAGCTAGTAAAGGATGGTTTGAAAGGTTTAAGAAGTGCCTTAGTTTGTACAACATTAAGATGATTGGTGAAGCTGCCAGTGCTGATACAAAAGCTGCACATAAATATCCTGATGAGCTGAAGAAAATTATTGATGAAGATGCTACACTTTCTCTGTTTTACAGGTACTTTAACGGGCAATATTCAATGGATTTGGCACCCTGTGTACCACCGGCAAGACGGTGGGCTCGTAACACTTGTCTTGCCCGCGTTTCCCACAGTTTCTCTGCGGATGTCGGTCACACTAGAATAACCCGTTCTAGTACATCCTCCTTTCCACACACAGCCAAACTGTGGAATGCTCTGCCTCCTTCTGTGTTTTCATTCTCATACAATGTCTCAATTCAAAAAGCTGGTGTTCCGGCATCTTCTTGGTGTAGATTAATTTAATCATTTTCTTTTCTATTTTTAATTTCTTTTTACTCTTATTTTTTTTTTGCCCCCTAGGCCCTGCCTCTGGGTGGGCTATTCCCTGTATAAAAAAGGGGGGGGGGACAGTCAAGCAACTGGCTGGGTGACTGTGTGGTGATGTGAGTGATGAACTTACTTGTCTTGACATGAGTGAAGAGTAAGTTATATAGTGACTGTAGAAGAATGGTGATAAACAAAGTTTATTGTACACTTAATAACATTAACAACGTTAGAGAACAATGAAGTAAGTTAGTGTACAGAAACTAATAATATAACCAAACTGACACAAGTACAGTACTAGAGATTATTACAAACTTTCCTTAGGCAAGTGTTTGTGATAGTACTGTATCCAGTTTATGTAATTATCTGTACTGTACTGTACTATACAGTACTATACTACTATGGAAGCTTCTTGGTCCCAAATTTTTCAACTGACAGATGCAGTACTTTACTATACACAACCATGTACAGTACAAGTATAACTGGAGGGATTGCTGGGGGGGGGGTTATATTGAAGGCTGACTGGTTGACATTTTTTGTAAGGTTGTCTGAGGAATGTTATAAACATTTGAAGCAATTGATGAACTGTTCTCTTTTTCTGACCATATGATTATTCATATTACTTCACCAAAAACTGTTTTCTCCTTGTTACTTTCAAATGTCAATAAGAATTGTGAATAGATGTTACACTGTTTAAAGATAGGAGTTACCCATGTCAAACTTTCAGGATAAAAAAGTTCACTAGTAAGTAGGGTGTTGACATGGCACCTCTTAGATTTTTCTGACTGTGTTGTGCAATTATCTGCTCAATTATAAAATTGAGGCGCCTAGAATGGGAGTGGCGTATCTCCAAACCGCCTGTTTTGAGTAACTCACCTTTAAAGTTTATTTACCATAGAAACTACTGCATGGATTTCAATGAAACTTTCCACAAAAGTTGGACTTTACAAGGGATGTTGCCTAAGAAAATTGAGCCCCATATTCCACCTCCTCAAACACCCCCCACTGCCCCCCTAAAAATAAAAAAATAAATAAATATCACCAAATTTTCACGAAACTGGGTACGTATATTAGTTTCGTGCTCTTCCAATGGAATTCTCTACCTTGCGGCTGCATAAGCGACACTCAGTCAGGCTTGATCATGATGAACAAAGGCCAGTGAACACACCTGTGGCCATATCTCCAAATTTTGATTCTGGATCAAACCTTTCCCTTTAATAAATGTAATGGCAAAGTTGTTTATGTGTTGAGAAATTACAAGTTTCAGCTCTTACAAAAGACAGTGTACATGTTTTACTGTAGAATAATTTTGAAATAATTGAATAAATGGAAAGACAATTTAACCTTGTCATTTACACGTGTTAATGTAATTAGCCGGCTTCGTGATTATCTCGCACACAAAATACACTACAGTATATTCAAAGCAATTCTAGTTGACAACAATTTGTTTCTCTTGTAGGAACCTGCTAAAGATGAACCCTACATGCCATGCTCTATCTGGGGACCAACATGTGATGGCCTAGATCAGGTAATCTCTGAAATAAGGCTGCCAAGGCTTTCTTGTGGAGATTGGCTAATCTGGCCAGAGATGGGGGCTTACACCCTTGCTGCCGCTGGAACTTTTAATGGCTTCCCACTACCCAAAGTGCATGTTGTGGTTCCACATCACACCTGGTGAGTTGAATTTTTTGCTACTCTGCAACTCTGCTTCCTCTTAGGTCACTGACAAAAAAGAATATCCCACTGTACTAGACTGCTACATTTTAAATTTAGTTTGTGTGTTTCTCTTACCTTAATTAAACTAAGTTCTCTCAAACTTAAAAAAAATTATTCTATATCAGCAGCTCGGTGTGTCACTCTGTCACAGATAGAGAAAGTCACTCAACTCACTGGCTAGAGCTTTTATTACTCTGCCTGGTGCAGTGTTACACCTAAATCCCTTGCATTTATTCAAAGTTTGTTATGAAAATGTCTCACAAGATCAAAGTTACTGTAGAAGTGGTTTAGGTTCCTTAAGATTAAAAAATGAGGAGCACCCCCTTTAATATAAGGTATTTAAAAAAAAAATTAATTAATTTTGAGTTAGGGAAACAATTGCATTTTATGAAAAGCTAACATTCTCTACAGCCTCTATGTGGTGACTTGTCTGGCTGCCTGTTGGCTTGAAAGGTTACCCCATGAAAATGTAATGCACTCCCTAGTGCTCATTGGTTGCACAGCAGTGGCAAAACAAGTGTCAGTCTTTTTAATTAATGTTAAACATGAATTTTTCCTATTGAGCACAGAAAGACACATACACAAGTGCAGATTGGGCTAACTGCATTTTTTGTCCTGATGAGTAGAAAATTTATACAGTACAGTAAAGCCTCGAATAACGACAATAATGTGCCTTCAAATATTGCAGTGTAAGGTGAATCATCGTATTGTGAATCATTAATTACCATTAAAATAAAGAAATAATAATGAAATGCATTCCAAAGTCTGACTTTTTCATATCGTTTGTGTGGCTTTTTACCCTCTTTTCCCCCCAAAACAATAAAATTAATGAAAAATGCAAACTATATTCTTTAAATGATGTTAATGAATGCACCTTATACAATATAAATCAATGATAATATGGTCACAAAATAGGATATGGTATGCCATTGTTGTTGTCAGTGTTTACACCCATAATGTCAGTTATCCATCTGAAACTGAAGAAAATAAGACCCTGGTTGTTGCTGTAGTAAAATTAATGTAAAAAAATATTTATTTTTTAATAAATGTTATTTAATGTATACAGTAAAAGTAACCACTGATGATAAAGAAAAAAAAGGTGAGAGACTGATAGCGGAACGCCCAACGTATTCGCGCGCACTCAAGGAGACAGCGTCATTTATCTTCTTAAGATTCATTATTGTTTATTACTGAATATGTATTTGATTGAATTAATGTTTATATATTAAAACCCACAAGAGGAGACGAGACGGCATTGTTTTCATTAGTGTTTACACCTGTGCTGATGGTTCTATATATGAAACGGAAGAAATAAGACCCTGGTTGTAGTTGTAGTAAAATTAATTTAAAGAAAATTAATATGTATGTTTTAAGTAATGTAATTAAATGTTAATAAATGGGACAAATAAAGTAGCAAACCACTAATGGTAAAGCGAGACGGATTGTGCAGCGCCAACGTATATAAGCGTTCATGTAAAAACATATCGTCATTTCTCTACATAAGATATGAAAGCAACACATATTGTTATCGCTGCTGGCTTCAACTACAGTGCTGGCGTTGCCTTACCCGAGCAAACACTAAATCTCTCAGCCTGCGACCACGTGCGTCTCCCCCCCCCCCAAGTCGACCTGTGACCTTGCCAGATGTGGTGGCTGGGAGTGGGGGGTACAGACAAGAGGCCCTGATTCTGCCAAGTGTATGGTTTAGAGGGTGGCATGGCCGCTTGGCCTCCATGATACAGATCGCCCTCTCGAGTGATGCTGTGAGGACCAGCCCTCTGCTAGCAGTGGTGAACACCGACTCCCAATCCTGGCCGAGATTTGTGCTGGAACAATTTACACGGTACTGTTGTCCCTTGGAACACCATACTGGTTCGCATTGACCCGCACTTGTAAGTACAGCCAAGGTGATGACAAACCCCTTAGTACTGAAATATTGTGGACTAATTATGCCTACTCGTTTCTGCCTTATCTGGAGCAATAAGACAACGCGGAATGAAGTGTAACTAAGATTAATAGAGTTATGAACTTTGTATCATTTCACTATGCTCAATAATCTATTGTAATTGATATGAAATCGTGTGAGACTAACTAATTATGTATCTGATAGATCACCATGTAATACTAATGAACGCCTTGTTCCCTGCAGGTTTTGACCACATCAATAAATATTGAATGCGTCAAAAGGCAGGTTTCAATCATTCCTTTTGACTTGCCCGTCACCTCAACGTCCTTAACCAAGGCGTTTACACTTATTATTGTTCATATATGCTTTAAATAATACTTACGAATGTAAAACAAAGATTTTTATCCCCAATGGTGGTAAAGTCAAAAACACAAGGACAGCCAATGAATGTTCTTGTGTGAGCTTTTACTCAGATCAGTTTCAACTCTGGCTGAAGCTGTAGGTTCAACTCTGGCTTAAGCTGTAGCTTTTCATAAAGATGTCATAGTTGTTGCTGAAACTGTTACTGAACCTGAAGTTGTTGCTGCTGATGCTGAATTTGATGATGTTGCTGAAGTTGATGGTTTAGGCTTTCGAATAATAAAGTTGTCAAAAGAACCTTGCACAGCTGCTTTCTTTTTCATTATACATCTTTATGTAGAGGTCATATGCATTTTCCATGTCCCTGTTAATTTTAATGCTCCAATTTTTTAATGGATCCACTTCAGAAATTATGTTCATTGCTTGCTCCATATATCACCGGACCTCTCACCCTTTTCATATCATTTTAACACATATAGTTTCTCAGCTAGGCTTATACACTTTCTTTTAGCTTTTGAACCAGCATTACAATCACTTGCTCATGTTGAATAGGGACGCAAAAATGCCTAAAGAAACCTGAGAAAGTTTTGTTCCTGTTCAGATGCGTGAAAACAAAAGGCCGGCCAAGCTGCAACTGTTTATACTAGTGATGCTGGCCTCACCACTCAAACCCGGCAGCCTCCATGTGCAAGGCGTGTTTTTTTTTTTTTTTTAATACATACTGGGATTTAGTTATTATTCATATGAAAATGTAATTTTATTTTATTTTTTATTCTATTTTCGTCGTAAATACGAAGAAAATAACTGAGTAAATTGAATTGGGTCCTAAATTAACCAGGGTCTTAAATATGAATCATTATTAGTAGAACGATCGTTATCAGAGGCTTTCCTGTATTAGGAAAAGGTACTAAAATCAGTGTTATAGTTGGTTTTCACCTGTCATGTATTTACATGGAGGCTAAGAGATAAACACACCTGTATTTCATTTGTTATCTTGTGGTTTACTTTAAACAGGCTGTACTTGGAAGAGCATCTGGGTTCCACCGTGAACTTCAATTCAGTTGGTGGAGCATCATTTTTGGGAGGCTGCTCAGGCACCAACTTACCAGTGGCAGAGGACTCTGTATCATCCACCAACTCTGCCTACTGCTCCTGTGCTGCCACCTTTGACAACATCAACTTGGAGGAACAGTTGGCTCAACTGACAGTCATTGATGTTGGAGAAATGTAAACAACTTGCCAATTATTTTAAATATATCTTTCAGTAGAGAAGATTGCAGCAAAGGAAAGTATAATGGCAAGGTTGCAGTACAGTTAATGATTTACATCAAGCATTGGAATTTTGTTACAGTTGGTAATTATTTAAATTGCAAAGGATATTCTTCAATGATTAAGAGTATTTAGGAGGAATATACCTGAATGTCTCTCCTTATTCAATGCCTTTAAATATTTGTCTTATTGTTTCAAGTTAATCAGTATCTTAATTGGTTTTATTACATTGAAGTAAAAGCAGACTGTTTGGTTGCTTAGAAACAAATGTTATTGGAATGTTTTCATCTTTGAGTAAATTTAACAGCAGCATTTTTGAAGGGTTAATACTGTCAATTATTTGAAGCATCATTTCACAAACAGTGAAGTTGTCAGGCAATGATGTTAATAAAGAACACTGAAAACTTTCCATCTTCAGCGAATGTGACTGATAATTTTTATCAGGAAAACAGACACTCATTTGAGTTAATGAAGGTTAATTCATTTCTTTGTTTGTGAATTTTAATGAGTTAAAATGTTTGGAGTAAGTTATGCATTTTTTGAAAATTTATTTAAAGATTCTTATGTGTGGAGAAAGTCATGCATGTGTCTTGTGCTTTAAATGCCAGAAAAGTTGGTATGATAGCAATTTGTGACTGCTTACCTCCCATTCATAGTAGATAGTATTTTAATGTGTAATCCGTATTTTATGGGAATAGTAATTCAGTATTGACTTGTTTATCAGCTTGCCAGTTCAGACAACACACAGTAGTAGAATTACATGTTATTGCAGTTACAGTATTAATCTTTCCATTTGGCTCTTACTCCAGCATTATGACATTCCAAGTTCTCCTGTGGAACTTGTAACCCCATGGCAATGTGTATCTTGGCCAAGCTTACGGTACTGTTCATCAGTACTACCTTATGTGAATTGGCTAATTAAATATATCTGTATTGAAATTTTAACCTGTTTAAGTTTCACCATAGTAATGCAATTTTTATATATATTTTATGCCTCAATTATATACAGTATACATGAGGACATTGAATTGCATCTTTGCTCCTGTATGTATACACTTAGTCTCATCACCCCAAAGTTGTTGAAGCATTTATGAAAATAACAAATTGCTATAAAATTTTGTAGGTTTACAGATATACTGTAGTGCTCACACCTATCTCTGAATATTTGTCTTCCATAATCATTAACTTAGTGGTCACAGAAATTACAGATCCTGTCCAAACTTGTAAAGCTTATAAAAATGAGTAACTATTTATTGAAAGCTCTGCGAGAAATCAGGGAAATTTTAGAAAAAAAATGGTAATTATGGTGAACTCAGTAATGTTCCTTGTGCCTGTATGATGTTAGACCATGGCTTTTGTGGCCCTCACATACAGTATGTACACTATCAAGAAGTATTTCATGGCTAGTGACTGGGAGAAGGTGCCTGTACAGTAGTACCTCAAAACCATCAGATTGTTTTGTTTTTTTCTCATGTTTTCTCAAACTTACTTTTCAATGTTTAGTGATACTATTTGAATATTTTGTTCTTATTTGAAATCGTAGTCTGGATTCTTTCACATGAGCATTTTTTGTTACACAACTTGGAGATCAATGGAGTTCAATCTGACCTTTCATGCATATGTGTGCAGCAAACTGTAAGATCAGGATTCTACTTTCTTCCATCTGCTGATGACAGCCAGGTGTAATCACATGCCCAAAATCATGCTACTTAACTAAGACACAGTCTCCACACACACACACACATCACTTTTGATCGTGGATTACTTAAGCGACAGATTGACGGTGTGGAAGGGACTTGAACGGCGGGTGGTGATTAGCATAGTCTTCCTGCTTGTTACCCTGTATAGTCAATTCCCAGAAGAGGCCTCATTTTGTACACAGCGTGTTTGACTTCCCCTGCATACTTAACCATAAAGCATAGATAACAAAGGGACAGACAAGGCAAGATAAGAGAACAGCATCTCCAGAATCTATCAAAGCATTTGAGGGTACCAGACAGTTTATACCTCTACAGTATACTACCATATCACCCAAGGTCCCAACAGTGGTATGCAGTAGTAAGATGGGCCAGACTCCAACCTGCTGACTGCAGGTGTCAAAGAATTTTCAAGCTTTACAAGACAGAGAGTGGCATGACCTTCACCCTCTTGCCCTGCCCTCTGCAAGAAGCGCTGAATTTGCTGTGCACTGACCTTGCTAAGCCATCCGCCTCCACCAACTGCCTCTGTTATCCTGGTAATTGTACGTGACAAGTGATCTCCAGCTATGCTACCCACGATATTCAACTGCGTGTTCACCAACCTCAGTCATCATGGTCCTGTGCTGGCAATGTTATGGCAACTAGTTCCTTTCATTGATCGCCAGTAGCTGTTTATGTGTCCACAACAACCCAACTCAACCTGTGTTCCAGTCAGCTGCTACTGTTGTATGATTGCAGTTCATTCCAACGACAACTCCAGAAGTGATTTGCTGTCATCTAGTCGTCTTCACCGTCGGTGCTGGGTCCAGAGTCGATATCAGTCACGACCCTACAACTTGCATCATCTGTGGTGGCCTGTGATGATGTCTTCCTTGACCACCATCGCCTACAGCTAAATATTAAGTACTGTATATGTCTTCTTGATGGTTGATCATTATTACACTAGACTGATCTTCACTAAACTTACTTTTGGGACTTTCTTCCAAATCAAAATTATCTGGAAGCAGTTCCTTTTCATTCTCTCACTTTAATAGATAGAAGAATATTGCTGATGTACAAGTTGGTAAGATATTGGTGTCACCGAACATCTAGGCCAGATGACACAGCCTCTCTCTACAGTCTCCTAGGCCTCACAGAACATGTCACTTAGCATATACAGTATTACTTTCTGAAAACTATAGGTTACCAGAGAAATGATTGGTTATATTGGACTGAAACAAAATAATAGCAATCTTAAATGTGCAAGAACATGTATGGATGTATCTGCAGTTGGGGGGGCATTGTAATTCTATACATCTTTACACAGCACACAGGGTTAATCAGAGTGGTTGCTCACCAAAGAGTTTACTGTAATATGAGATATAAAAGTTAATAGTGTAAATGCATGTGTACTGTATAAAACTGTATTTGATCTTTATAGCTGCCAATTACAGTAATGAGATGAACATACACAGTACTATAGTACAGTACAATGCTGGTGAAATAGTGTTTTCAAATTGAATGGTCACACAATGTATGCACAGGCTACAATTGGTAAACAGTAAAATCTTAATTTCTGTAATGCCATTTTACCAGACATGCTGGTTTTACAGATTGAAAATGACCAGCTGGTAAAATGTGAGTTTGGCGCCCTTTGCTGTATATAGTCCATTTTTTTTCCAATTTAAATACTGTTTAACCCCTAGGCTTCGGGTCACGTCATATGAAGTGCATCTGTAGAACTTCAGGACACGTCATATGTCGTTTTGATCTCTTACAGGCCTGTTTGAATAAAAAGTGCGGGCGTGGCTAGTTTATGTTGCCAAATACAGTGGAGGTATTTATCTTTCACTCACTCGCACATGAGAGCTTGCCAGTCTCTTTTCAGTAGTTTCTCAGCTTTTGTACTGTAGGTATCTTGCCCTTGGACTTGACTCACTTCACCATGTGTTTTTACCCTCCCCAAGCACAAGTCTAGTATCATGATCAATTACTGGAGTAGTATTAATGATTGTTAATACTGTAGTGTAAATAGTAATAACATAGTAAAACTAATGTCCTGTACTTCATACTGCCTACAAATTAGTGTTGTTTAATTTGTACTATTGCACCACACACACACACACACACACACACACACACACACACACACACACACACACACACATACATGCCCCTTCACGAAAAATGTCGACTCTTATTAGCTTGTGTTGCCAACCTGTGGATATGTATTTGTTTCCTGTTTATATCATGCATGGTCAGTTTGTAAGACTAGAATTTTTAAATGTTCCCAAATATACCTGAGTAGGGGGTAAGGGGATATATCGACCACAGCCCGAAGCCCAGGGTTAAGGATATTTTTAGGGTAAACAAGATTTTGCTTAGGTATTAAGTCGTTAGGTTTCAGTAATGTCTAGTTTGATAAAGTGGTGTAGCACTGTAGGTAAAGCATAAATGAATTTTGTCAATGACATTCTCTCACACACACACCACCACTCCTCGCCAATTACCGTACAGTTGTTGCTGTTTTAGGACATTTTTGCAGTAAACACTGTTTTGCTTAGATACTCTTTAGTATTGCAGCTAAAGACTTAGTAGTTGTGAAGTGTGGATACAAGAGTTTATGGGTTACAAGTTAAGACATGTAGATAGTGGCAGTGTTCACAAGAGAGGCTATGAACAACCTCCCTGCATTTGCAGAAAAACAGTTTGACAGCACTAACATACGGTGAGTTCTCAGATGATTGTGCAGTATTATAACCAAACTGTTAAAACTCAAGATTAATAAAGAGCCCAGGCCCTGATAGTGTGAATCCCAGAATGTTAAGACTGTTGTGCAAAAAGTAAGCAGAGCCCCTTAAAATCCTGTTCTGCAGATGCATGGATGAGCAAAAAGTACCCAGTGCCTGAAAATTTGCATATGTGAATCCTATATCCAAACAGTGATTGCATTGCATGGGCAACTGCATGGACCATGAAGCATTACAGGAAGATCTCTGTCAGCTTCAGGAGTGGTCTAAGATTCTAAGGTATGGCTGTTGAGATTCAATATCACGAAATTCAAAAGGATACATTTACGTCATGCCAGTAGTAAAGAGTACCACATGTCCCAGCATGACAAAGAAACATCATTAGCTGAGGTCAAATGTGAAAAAGACTCTGGATGTGTACAGTATGTTGACAATGAACTGAAGTTCTCGGAACATTGTGAGAAGAAGGTGAATCAAGCAACTAAGCTAGTAGGTCTTATAAGAATTACGTTCACGTTGCTGAATGGTCTGTCCCTCGTAACACACTTTAAAAGTTGGGTGCTGCCCTGTTTGGATTATTGTCACCCTGTCTGGTGCCCGAGATATGCCATAGACTGTCAGATGATTGAGAATGTCCAAGAGAGGGCGATCAGACTGGTGCCTGCAGTACAGCACCTCAGGTACCCTGAGAGATTAGAATGCCTGCAGTTGCCTAGCTTATACCATAGATGAGCAAGGGGTGATTTAATAGATTTTTTTAAGTACTTCGGAGGGTATTTCTTAGTCAAGTGTTCATACCTAGACTTAGCAGGTACCTGCCACACTAGAGGTTTTAGCCTCAGGTTAAGGAAACCTCAAGTTCAGAAAATTATTATGGCAAACTATTTTGGAGTGGGAGCTATGAACTCTTGAATAATCTGCCAGTGACGGCACAAGTGTGAACTTGCTTATGACCAAATTTGACCAATACTGGTGAAGGTTCAAATACTGTCTACTGTACTGTATTCTAAATAAAAATTAGTGCAGTTTGCATTGAACTGCTGTAAGTGGCTACAGCTGTATCCTGTGCAACTCGCTACACTTATTTGGTATTTAAAACAAATTACTAGTACAGGTATACACTTGGAGTATATAATGGCTATACAGTAGTGTACTTTTAAATCATTACATTTGTCTCACAACCCAGTGACATTAAGTATGGGCATTAAGACACGGAAATTATATATGGTTGCGGGCCACCCTAATACCCTTGGTGGGCCACAGTTTCCCCATCCCTGCTCGAGGCACACAGGAAACTGTACAGTACTCTCACGGCCTATGTACACCATACACTGTATCTGCATTGTGTATATTCCTGCTGAACTGTGTCCTGTACCTGCATAGTTTATATACATGCCTAGCCAATTGTACACCTGTATGACAATTTCACTGAATATTATTATTATTAACACTATTTTTCAAACTTGAATAATGTAGCCTGATCTTCAAACTTTTTCCATTGCAGCAGCCTAAT